CAGCGGGAAGGGGCCGCGCAGCACCGCGCCGCGCCGCGTCGCGCAGGGAGCGGATCCAGCGGGGAGCACGGGGCAGGGAGCAGCAAAAAAAAGCAGAGCTGGCAGGAGCACAGGGCAGGGAGCAGAGCTGCAGATCCGGCAGGAGCACGGGGAGCAGAGCGCAGAGCAGGCAGAGGCAGAGGATGGGAGTGGCATTCGAGGAGGGGGAGGCGCTAACCTGTGGCGCACCTGCCAAAAAAGGCTGGCCCTCCGCTGTTCAGGCTGTGCCCTAACACTAGGATAGGAGCTGTTCTCCCTCCCTTGAAAGAGCCAAATTCCTTTCTACAAAGCGGGTTCCCATCCCGGGATGGTGTACAGCGTGCTGGTTAAGGGACGTAATGGGACATGAAGGTGTGAAGCCCTTGGCGCTGAGGAGGGGATTGGACATGGGACGCCCACACCCTGGGTGAGTGGCCTCCATTCTCACCATTGAGCTGGTGTGTAAGAGAAGGGGTGTAGGGCTGGGATGAGGCTGTTACCAGCTCTTGCCTAGTCCCTAGTCATGTTTCAAAAGAAGAGTATGACTGCTGTTCCATTGCTGAAAGAAAGGTTGTAGGCACCTACTTTCCAGGAGATCTGGCCTGTGAATCCTAAGCATTAGACGTGCCTCCCAGCAGCCCCAAGGCATGCAAGTGCTGGTAAAGTGAAGATCTGAGCTGCAACCCTAGCACTGGCATTTCCCTGAGGGCTAGCTCTGCATAACTTCTTTGTCAGCTCTGCACTGCACAGGCGTTTGTGCACTGAGGTTCTTGACCCCTCCCATATAGTATATGAGGAATGTAATTCAGCATTTTGTATTCCACCAGAGTTACAGTTCACTTCCAGCACCAGCCCGCTCCCTCTTTGAAGCTCATCCTAAATGACCTGCCCAAGGACATTCAGGTGAGTGTCCCAAAACTGGAATTTAAACTGGTGCTCTTGCATCCTGATGCCTGTATCACCAGGCTGTTGGGGAAGCAACATTACCACATAGGTGGGCTGGCAGGGGGAAACATCATGTATCTGGGTCCAAGAAGGCAGTTTTCCTGAAGTGTTCCCTGGGGATAACTGTTCTTCTGGCGTAGTTTAGTACCCGCTGAGGTGTTGGGGCTTAATGGAACTGGGAACTTAATGGAACTGGGAGGCTCCTCCCTAGCTTGCTCCTGTGGCCATATGACTGAGGGCAGGCAAAACTTGGGGGCATCTGAACCCCAAGCCTTTGGGCTTGGGCCTGCGTGTAGGATGCCTGCCAAAAGACTTTGGAAATATCTGAAGCCCCTGGCAGGGGTGGAGGATGTTTGTTGGTTTTAGGGCCACTTATGGTTTTGGACTGACTCATGGATTTGGACTTGATTTGGCTGATTTGGCTTGGAACATGAAAAATTTCTTTTAAAAAAAAATGTTCATTGCTCTGAGGTGGGGTCTCTGTAGCTTCATAGACTGAGGGCAGGAGCAATGTCGTTTTTTTGTTATTACTATTTATTCATCCCATTATTAATCTACTCCCAAGGGAGGTGGTGCTCTCCCCTACCCTGGGGGTCTTCAAGAGGAGGTTAGATAAGCATCTAGCTGGGGTCATCTGAACCCAGCGCTCTTTCCTGCCTATGCAGGGGGTCGGACTCAATGATCTATTGAGGTCCCTTCCGACTCTAACATCTATGAATCTACTAAATAAAGCCAATGGACATACATGATTTCACAGGCTTAGCTGAGGCTGGTGTGGCAAACACATCATAAACACTTTTGGGCAAATCCTGTTTCACTTCTATGTGCCTAAGTACTACTTAAGTGTCCAAATGTTGCTGTGTAAGTGCCATTTTTGTCACTTAAGCAGATTTGAGATTCTTTTTCTGTCTGTGTAGCTACATTTGCCCATCTGAGGAAGTTCAGACAGCTCCATTGCCACACTCTGTCCCAGTAGATACTTAACTTCATGCAAGTCTTCAGAAATGTGCTTGGAAAAATGTCACAATTAATGACTGCTTGACACTAGAATAGGAGCCCTCCCACCATTTATCCCTACATAACAGCCCTCCCACCTTTTATCCCTATATAACCTAATAGCCAGGGCAGTGGCCTAGGGAGCAGAAGACCCCCCAGGCTCTAGGCTCCCCACTAGAGAGGGTTTTGAATAGGCCTGTGCAAAGCAGCTACTATTCACTTTGGATTTGGCCGATTCAGGGGACAGTGATTTGATTCATTGATCCGAATCACAGTCCCGAATCAATTTGGCCAGATCTCTGAATCAGCCGGGCCCATTCCCCGCAGCCCGGCAACAGCAGGGCAGTGGGGGGGGGGAGGGTGTGCAGCATAGATAACCCCTCAGGGCACTGATCATTAGGCCTTGAGGCTAAAAGGTGGGAGAGCTGTCCTCCTCTGGCATCAGTTGCTGGTTGTGGATTTATCTCCAACCACACTTGTGGGGACTCCTGTGCACCTGCGGGGTAATACTCTTCCACCGTAAGAGCGTATACAGTAGCCATTGTGGAATCTTCTGAGCATGCTTACAAGGGGAAGCATAACTTTGTAGGTGGAAACAGACTCTAATATCTGTAAATGCCAAAAATGGACAGAGAAGTAGCACTTAGGCACATAAAACTAAAGCAAGATTTGACTCTGATGGTAGCATTTCAGAAGTGCTTGGCATTGACTGAATTCTTTTTATCCCAGAATCAATGGTATCCCTCCCCTTGACTTCAGGGAGAAAGGTTAGATCAATGCTGCATGCCTCCAGGGATTCCACCCTTAACTCATTTTCTCTTTGTTTACACACAGGCTCAAACATTTAAGTGAGCCCTCCATCCGTCCACCCCCTCCTCCCTGAATGCCAGGGTTTGGTATAAAATGGGATCTAGTTCAGACCAAGGACAGGTTGGAGCAATAAAACCAAAAGACAACTGCTTCAGCCTCAGTTAACCTTTAGCTTTGATGAAATCTGTTAAAAAACAAACTATTGATTCTTTTCCTATTTCCTTGTTAAATGCAAAGCTGCCTTTCATCCTGTTTATTCAACTAGCACTGCCAGCAATTTTTTGTTGTAGGCAAAGCATAAGTGCTGCTGATCAACTGATGCTCTGGAGTTTGGAAACGGTCAGGGCCAAGTTCATCCCAGATGAGCTCCACTCACTATGATGATTCTGGCACCCATTGTATGAAGCTGCTGTGCGCCAAAGCACTGGCAACATATACAGTGGCTTGAGACCTTGCACATGCTACAAATCAATTAGGGATTAATCCAGTTCCTATTAAAGTCAATGAATGAGACTTTCTGTTGATTTTAGCGAGAACTGATATGAGCCATGAAATTAAAATTCTGCAGATAGGCTGAAGAGTTTTATGGCAGAGGGGAGGACTGTCATCAGCCCTCTTGGCTGACCAGCTGAGAAGTGAAGGCTTTGCTGCTGTACACAGATTTGCTGCAACCACACATACACACACACACAAATGTACATATACACACGTACATATACACAGCATATATTGAATATTGTAGACAGGTAAATGGAGTCAGTTGCTCATAAACCTACTTTTCTCCCATATTCTAGTCCTAATGATCTTAGACTAAGAGTGAGTTAGGATTTTAACATTACTGGTTCTGAGAGACTTGGAGCCAGATCCTCAAAGTTAGCTGGATGTTGCAACACTGTGAAACAATGCCAAACTTCTAGGTCAGCTGTTCCCAAAGTCTGACACTTGTTTGTGTACATGCCCTCCAGCTGTCTTTTGAGAGGAGTGCTTCTGGCTTAGATGTGCTCTGAGCATGGCTACACAACTGGATGGTACTGGGAGAGAGACTGCCAAATTCCAAACCCTATTTCAATGTGAGTAAAGGCTTTGAGAAGTGTGCTACTGTGGGGCAGCATCAGCACTTAGTCAGCTTTGTGCATGCCCATTCAAAGACATTTGGTACAGAGGCTTTTAGCTGGGATATGAAGCATGGGCTTTGAGGGTATTAGTGGCAAATAAATTAGGCAGGCCTGCACCTGGTCTTTCAGCACCATGCCAACTCAGCAACACTGCGGCCAGTTCAGAATGGTGTGCATACACAGCACTATAACATGTTTAAGGGGGCTGTTGCCTGGCACGGTAAATTTGTTTCATGGCTGTGCCCTTAGGAGCCCAAAGAGGCAAGTGTTTAAGTGCTTTGGAAGGTATGGGGCTACCTTCCTGGGTGTTTATTAATCTCTAAGCACACTGTAATTATTTACATGAAAATGCATCGAGTTATGCATATTGTCATCATACTAGAATTGGTCAGACAATGTGTTTCCTGCTTGGCAAATAGCCATGAAAATGAATCTTTTTAATAGAAAATTTAAAGAGGAACTTTCAACTTTTAATTGAAAAATTGAAAACAGTTCCGCTTTTGACAACTTCCAGTCAGTAACTGTAAGACCTGGCCCTAGCCTTCAAGAGCATGTCTGTACATCATTATACAGCACGAAGCAGAGAAACTCCTTTGGATGTATTTGAAGAGCCTAAGTCTCGAGCTGGACTTCTTAAGTCCCTCCTGCTCAGTGCCCACCTAACTCCCCCAGCTGCCTATAGCTCTGCTTCTGCATATGCCCTGAAGTACTTGAGCCTTCACAGTGCTGGCCCACTTATCTCATGTCTAACCTCTATCAATATGGCCATACCAGGCAGGTGTTCCCCTAGCCTGTCTTTCCTAAAGCTGTTGTATTAGATCAAGCTCTCCCTAGCCCAGGGGAAGGGTACAGCGGTAGTGCTGACCCTTCCCACCTTGTTTAATAGCTCAATGTTCAAAGTATTCATTTAGAACGTGGGACATGTGGTTTCAGTTCTTTCTTCTGCCTGAGGAGGTTAAAATACCCATTTCACCTCTTCCAGGGGAGAGTCCTAACCACAGGGTAGTAGGCTATTGTAAGGTGGGAGGCAGGGTGAGATGAGGAGAGAGAAGCTCTCAACCTCCTTGCTCCACAGTGTGTGGAATAGTGAGAGATTCTTTGGGCCATTGAGAGGCAAGGCTGAGCCCGACTCTGACTCTGGTTGGGGCCACCCACCTGGGAGGGGGGAGAATTGCGTTCCAGTCCCTGTCTGATGACTATTTAATTATACTACAGCAGTATAGTGCTTAAACCATAGTGTTACTGTATAAAAGAAGGTTGTACCACTCCTACCTCTGTACTGAAAGTAAAGAGAACCTTGTTCACTTCTTGAAGGGTTGAAGCACCTAACTCCAGGAGATAAGTTCATGGCTGTGAATACTGAGCGCAGGGAGGCAGCTCCTTGTGGCCTGCTGTAAGATATCCTGAACACTGCCCTGTCCACAGCACTTTCCTGACGGCTCCTTACGCTGTACACTGGTTGTTCTGGATCCCTCTCCTGGGGATTCTGTGATGGTGAGCAGGTCTGATTTAAAGATTTCAGGATAGGGTCTGTTTGGGCTTGTGGAGCAAACATGTTTCTTCTTAAAACAGCCAGCAGTGCTGCCAACAGTGCTGTCGTTTAAATTATGTCAGAGTTAAAACCTCAAGCAGCTCAAACATACTACCATCATATGGTATGTTTTTAAGATCTCCTGATATTGCCTAGAACCATTTGGAGTTCTCTTTCAACATCTGAGACTTTGTAATAATATTCTTCAGTACCTGGTGGACTCTGTCCAAGGAATTCACAGAATCCTCATCCCAAAGGAACCAGAGTGAAGTAGATTCTGGGCTGACGAGCAAATCCAGAATCCTGATAGCTCTTAGGGATTTGTGCTCCATAGTCAAATTCCTTCAACTTTAAAACAACGCCAAAGAAACTTGATTTCTCCACTCTTTCCTCATTCTATAGCTAGAGACCTGGAGAGCCTTGGTACCCTCTTCTCTCCTTTCTCAGTTTCTCCCTTCTCAAACCTCTGCACCACACTCCATGTGTGACCTCACCAGCTCCTTGTGTTCTTTTCTGATAGTCTGCACTTCTGTCTCCTCCCATGCACTGAGAAGATGGGGGTTTTAGCATCTTTTGCACTGCCATTCTCAGGCCTTTCTTCTCCTTGGAGTTTTGCAGCTTGTCATAATTTTGGATATATCTTTGGGATCAGCTGTCCCACTGAACTCTATATTATGTGCACACTTGGGCACTTCCCTGCATACTCCTTTTATCACTTCCTTGATACATAGCATATGCAAAATAGGACCCAAGGCTGATACGGGAGCGCATAATGTGTCACTTCCTCATCTGTTGCCATTTCTGTTATCAGGCTAGCTTATTTTTTAACAAACCTATTATGTCACTGTCATGGTTGCCTATGCAGCCTTTATACAAACATTAGTTTTGTAGGCAATACTCAGGTGAAACTCTTCTTGTGCTCACATCTGTATTTTGTTTCCCTCAGCATCTCCTCTCAATTTCATGCTCTCAAAGATTTTAATCAAGCTTGTCAATCCTGCCCTGCCCTTCATAAATAAATGCTACCTCCAGCTATTCTAAGACCCATAGAAGTTGTTCCTTGTTGTCTTTCTGATCCTGTCAGGCCAGTGTTTTGGTTCTGTCTACTTTTTTAATTAAGCTATAATCTTTCATCTCTGTGCCAAATGCTTTCTTTGCATGATGTACAGTGCAAAATAATTGCTACTGTTTTTGGATGTTCAGTGATTATCTTTGAAAACATCTTGAGCCCATTAATGCTTCCATGTGACAATTTCTGTCCCTGGAAAAATTATTAATATCCTCATTTCATGGGAGTTTCCAAGAAAAATTGAGAGTCTGTGCAAAGCTTGGGCTGGGAGGCAGGACCTCCTCCCCCAAAGTTCTGATTCAGGCACTGCCATTGATTTTCTATGTGGCCTTCAGTGAATTTTTACCCTCTCTGCCTCAGTTCCATGTGACAAAAAGGGGGATAGTGCTTGTCCTCACAACTTACTAAATTTTCTCTCATATAACATGTCCCTGAATATAATACATACCTTGTTTTGAAAGGAAAAATAAGGGTCAGTACAGAGTTATGGCTCCATAAAGCAGGGACAGAACCTAATCTTCAGCTGACTCACCCTCCCTTTCCTGCTTAACTAAAGACTAAAAATACTAAAAGATTAAAAACTGCTTAACTAAAAACCCTAGCTGCTGCTGAAGACTGGTCTCCAGGGATGGGTCTATGACTTTGAAAAGAGTTAAAGTGTTCCCAGGACTGTCAAACAGGAGGAAAGAGACCAGGAGCATCTAATAGACAGCAAAACTGCCCAAAGACTGGTTAGCATGATTAATGGAACATCAGGACTATTAAAATGGAGAGATGGTTGTTAATGTCTGTGGAGTGAAGAACAATGATGCATTAAGTCAACTGACTCCATCAGCTGCTTGAAGAGTAATGCAACAGCTGCTGCACAATGGAGCTGGAATCAAAGCAGGGTGTTTATACCCCAGGCAGAAAATCAGCTTCCCTGCTTTATATATGAAACCCAAGGTGGGACGGGGGTTGATTTTGAGGGGAAAGGAGCATTGGTGCTTGCTGTATGCAATAAAATATAGTCGTTAATGTTTGCAAAGTGCTTCAAAAGCACCAGGCAGATTACCTCCCCCCTTCATCAGCTACTGTGAGCACCTGGCAAGGCAAAGGTGCTGCAAACTGGCTGGATCTGGCCAACACAGCAATATCCCTGCTGTGGGGGAGTCCTTACCTGCAAAAACCAGCAGAACTAGCTCCTCTGGACATGGAAGTGTCAGTGGTGTGGAGAGGAGCAATGTCTAAATGGTGGGCAGTTCCCAGGGACCTACTCTAAACTACAACAGCTATTAAGAACAAGCAGACAGAGATGATCCCTTACATTCATTCAACTTCAGCTCCCCTAACTGGTGGAGGCTACATTATGTTAAGTAGCTAAAATAAGAGGAGATGGCTTAATCTGTCTATTTTCTAAGATGCTATTTCCTTATACAGGTTATTAATTCAAGGGGATAATACAGATCTTAAAAAAATATTAGAAATCTACATAGTGGGAAAGAAGTGGATCAGGTATCTGATTTCCTTCCTCTCAAACCTGTTGCTAATTGCAACATATCTGCTACTCTCTAGTCTTATGTAAGTCATGTAATGTCTCTCTGTCTCAGTTTTCCCATAGGTGTAATAGGAACCATGATCTTTTCTCTTCTTTATAAGTGCTTTGAGATTAATGGGTGGAAAGTGTCATATGGGAGCTGAAGTTCAGCAGTTGAAGGAGAGAGCTAGAGATGACATTTGTCAAGTGATATAAACCTTTTTTAAAACCAGTATATTTTCAGGTTGCAGTTCTTTGTAGATATGCCTGAGGTGAACCTCAACTCCATCATATACTATATCTTTGGCCAACACTAATATCTCCATCCTGACAGATGGCAGGGAGAAGTAGTATTCAAGTTCCTTTTTTCATGAATAAATAAATCATTCGAGTTTAATCAAATGAAAGCAGTCATGTAAATTATCATGAGGCAACAGCACTGACCAACAACACTTTTTATCTAGCCAAGCTAAGGCCATGGCTTTTACTGTAGATGGCAGTTTTCCAAGGAGTTACTATGGTCTAAATAAACATTATGCACAATATCCTTGTCGGTAGCCTTACCAACCAATTACAAGAGACCGATTACGTCTCATATAATGTAATCTCTACAAAATTTTACAGGCTCTTAATTATATATAACCATTGTATTGTCAGCCTCTGTCATGAAGCTCCAGAATCTTTCCCTGCTGCGCAGTCAGACTTGTAGAATAAACATTTCCTGGTTCTTCTTTAGATCTGATTTCTTCAAATAGGAGTGATGCTCCAGTCCTACACTGAATAGCAAGAAGAGATTGAATAGGTAGTGCTACAAGGAGTGGGAGTGGCTTTAATGTTCT